GGTCCAATACGCATGAAAAAAAAAGAGACATGATTTCCATGCGTATCCCATATCTGTTTTTCAAAGGTATGATACAATACTCCTCATATTGGGCATATTGTATCGAAATCTTAAACCTTAGTTTCTCTTCATTTTGCTACTACTTCACTTATAGCTCAATGGTGCAAACTAGCTCCTCATTGGTTTAAAGTTATCTTTGATGGTGCACTGATTGTAACTCATGGGGGAATTGTTGTAGCTATTTGGGATCACTTTGGAGATTTTGCTTTGCTTGTGCTGTGAATATTATTCATTGTACCCTAGAGGAAGTTGAGGCCTATGCTACATTATATACTTCGCTTTGCTCAAAAGCTAGGTTTCTCTTCCATTGAATTTGAAGGGGATTCTTTATTGATTCTTTAAAGTCTCTTAGAGGAACGTTCTCCTCCTAGTGCATCCATGTGGTAATCGCTGATTGCAGACTACTTCGAAGTTTTCCCTATTGCTTGGTTTCTTGGAGAAAATGCAACAAGGTTGCTCATAAATAGGGTTTCCAAATTTTCTTTGACTATATCTTATTGTTTTACTTGGAACTCTATCCCTGCTTTTTTGCTTCTTTGTGTAACTCAAGACATTATAACCGAGCATCATAGTAATGCCTGATGTTTGATTAGCCATTTTTTCGAAAAATGTTTTTTAGACACCTTGAAAATCGAGAAAGGTGTGGCCTAAGAAAATGCCCCTTTGGTGTTTTCTTTTTTTTTTCTATTGTTGCTATCAATAGTATGCTAACATGGCAATGAAAAATACCTATGCGGCAGCAATAACAATGGTACCAAATAGAAAACCCGAAAAAATGTTCCCTATGAAAACGACATGCCTATGCAACACCGTTTTTCGAGAAAATGCCTCTCAAGAAACGACATTGGTTCCAAACACTGCCTTAATCGATGTTGCCTCCCTGACACACTATCAAGGATTCCTCCCATTTCAAAAAAAAAAAAAAGTTGGTCAATGTAAAAAAAAGGTGGATTCGAGTTTTAGAATTCATCACAACCAAAGCATTTGGTAAGAATACAAAATTTATCAATGCAAAACTAAACTAACTTTGCATTTTCATGAACCATACATATTGACATTTGCACTCTTACCACATGTAGACAAAGAGTTGGGATTAATGTAACCCAACCTTTAAGTTTGGGCTTGGTAGCTTGGATCAATTAAAGTTCTTTTATTCATCCTAGATCGCTTCAGATAGAATCAGATATGTTCTACAATGTCCTTGTAATTGGTCTAGCTTTCTGGCTTGGCTAAACATCGATTATTAGTTTAGTTGGTCATTTTCAAACTTGACTTTAGTAACCCTTTCTTATGAACTACAATGATGAGCCCAAATTAGATGCACTTACAATGTATTAGCCCATTTGAGATGTGTGGTTGGATGCCAAGTTTTTAGTACAATTTAAAATATGAGAAATTGTTAAAAACATCCCTTGAAGTTTAGTAGTTGTAATCACCTCCCATAAACTTTCTAAGTCAATTGCAAGTAGACCCTTTTCTTAAAATCCTCTAATGAGAGGAATGAAAATGTCCAAGACGTCTATGTAATTACTTTTGACCAAAATGTTTATTTTCTAAATTTTTTCTTCATATCAATTACTACCCTAAACCCTTCCAAAATTTTTTTCCATAATTGATTTATTTTCCAAATTTTCCCTTCATATCAATCACTCAAAGGTAAAGCAACAACTTTAAACTCTTAATTTTTTTGTTGTTCAGAAAGTTTGTATTGTTTATTTTGTAAAAACCAACCTCAATTATAATTGCACGGGCATTTTAGACATTTTATACCCCTTGTTAGAGGATTCTAATAGAGGGGGATCTACTTGCAACTATGTAAGAAAATTTAGGGCAAATTTCTTAAATTACCCCTAAGGTTTAGGAAATTGACTAATTATACCCTTACTATTTCAGTATTGTCTTAAAGTATCCTTACTATTTTGTGACAATTGTCACACAACTCCCTTCTTGTTAAGTCTCCCTCATAGGTCATTTACACATGCTTGATTTAATTTTAAATTATACCCAAAATACCTTTCCGACGAAAATTATCATCTTCTCTACTCAAACCAGTGGAACCTTCCATCATCCTTCTCTTTGGCGTCTCTCTCTCTCTCTCTCCTTCCCTATATTCCCAACGATATGGAAACACTTGTCTAGTTCTGCTCCCTAACCGAAACTTTGAATATTAATCGTTCTCTCTAGAGTCTGGAAGTTCTTGGATGGAAATTTGGACTTTGCGGTGTATTGATGTTGTCATGTAAAGGAGAAATGCTAGCATCATAACAGGATAGAACCCAGTTTCAATGCAAATCTTTTCGGATTCCTACTACTTATCAGTTTCAGTGCTCCAAGAAACGATGCCTTTTAGCTGTTGCGTTTTCCATTACTTATAACAGAGGTGATAAGGGAGATGAACATGTTTGTGTATGTAATAGGGAAATCATGAACGTGTTTGTATCCCCAAGCCTCTCGTAGCTCTAGAGAGTATCAATTTTGTCAGCCTTCTTGATGGTGTGCGATCTAGATACTCCTAGCTGGAGGGTGATTTGAACTCCGGTTACGCGGCAAGCTGGACCAAGTTGCAAAATAGTAGATCAGAGAACCTGGGGTGGCTAACCCGACGAGGTCGCTCTGATGCTTAAGTCAGTATTATACTATGGATGCGAGCTGAATACTTGAATGCTTGAATGCTAGTGAGTAAATAATCACACGTACCTTTGCCTTGGGGTTTCATGTCCTTATGTAATGGAGTAGTCGTGGGCCTTACGAAAGAGCTCTAGGATCTCCGGGTTGTGCGGATAAGGTTTGTTCCGTTTTTGAATGAGAGCAATGTGTTGATAAGGTTTATCGTTTACCTCTAATTCAGACGGAGCTAGGATGAGTCTCGTCGTGATCCTGGGAAATTCGGGGTCCGTTGGAGAGGCCTTTGGAGTCGATTATGTGGCGTTTCGGCTCTTTAGCTCCGAACTGGCACTTCGATTCTTTAGTCCTGAACTGGATTGAGTGTCGATGTGTCTCTACGCCGAAGTGGCTGAATACTCGAGCTCCGAATGTTACGAATTGGGTTCGTTTGACTGAATTATCACCCCTCGAGCAGATCGCGTCTATGTGTCCCCTTCTTATTAGGTCGTGCCAAATCACCCTTCATCACTTCTCATCACAATAACAAGTCCACCATTCAAAAGACGGAGAGTGCCGGTGATAGAGGTTAACCGTTGAAGTTGGACTGAACGTATGAAAACATTATTGATTGATGAAGACAATATCAGACAGCCAACAGTGGTCCGTTTTCATTTCTTCTAAAGACAAACAACTACCACGCATGCACGCACCATTGTGGTTGCCTAATGTGGTTGTTGTCACAGTTATAGTTCCGGTTGTTACCGTTAAAGCAATTGCTTTTCACCTCTCATGCCTTTTCAAATTCCCTGTCTTTACCTTTAGGAAGTGCTACTATCTTTATCCCTTACTTTCGGTGGTTGAAGATGCCCTTAATTGTTTTTTCTCTTGGGCTGAGTTTAAAAGGAGTACAAATGCACATACGTAGAGTGCAAAATCTTCTATTTTGTATGTATTTATGCTGTACATATATGCATTTGTACTGCTTCGCCTCGGTGATTTTGTCTCACCTTATATTGATTGCAGAAGTTCTTTATTTTTTCTCCTTTATCCAGTATATCTATTTCATTCTTTCTAATAAATTGTATCCTTAATACTGTTATTACTTCTTTATATTTATACAAGTTTCATGACCTATTGACCTCCGATACGGCGATACTGATACAACTAGCATGATACAGCACGATGCGTATTGAACCATTGATGATGCTTAAAAGTTAAAAGCTTGGCTTTCAGCGGGTCCACATGTCAGATCCGGGCTCGTGTTAGGGGGTATTTGATCGATAATAATTCCCCACGTCAACCATCAAGTATATATTCCCAACGACCTCTCACGCGTTGCGTTACCATTGGTCAAACAGCCTTATCAAGTGCTGCTGATCCGGATTTAGGAAATAATAAGAAAATGACTGCGCACAAGGACAAATTATATACACCACAAAGCAGAAAATGTGGCGCCAATTTAACGGTTAGTACCGTTTACCAAAATAAACATTTAACAGGTAGGGCCCACGCTTTAAGCCTATCTCTAGAATTTAGGGCCTATACACTTCCACCAGCCTATCTAATAGCATCTCTTTGGGCTAACGCAGATGCGTACCAAAATTCCCCTCCTTTTTTCAACAATCAACGGTATACAATTATTTATCTCAGATAAGTTACAAATTATATTATCAGCAGTTAACCTTAGCAAATCCACATTCAATTTTTTTTTTCAACAATGCCGCCACACCCAGCTCCTAGGTGGGTTCTGCTCCTCACGCCGTCACGCGTTCATCAGCCACCACCAACTCAAGAAACCGAGAGTCCACGCCATTTTCAATGACACAAACACGGAAAATTACATTTTGAGTGGTCGTCTCCTCCCTTAAAATGCGCATATCATGAGTAAATGTAATATCCTACGCCAACGTACAAAAAGAAAGAAAAAAAGGCGCATAAATTAAAGAAAAAAAACCAGGTACTCACGACTGTCTAAATACCCGCCCCTTGCTTCACTGTCCAGAAAAACTGGTGAAAGCGATCGCTCAGAGTTCAGAGCTTCTCCTCCTCCAGTCCTCCTATAAATCCACTGTTGCTTTTCATCAAGAAAGAGAAAAGCTAAATCTTGTTGCTTCTTTCAAATGAAAAGCAAGCTTTTTCCAAATTTCTATCCCACAAAGACTCGTTTTCCCGTGATTTTCAATCTCGAAATGCCCGTGATATCTAGGTTTCTACGGTGAGTATTCGATTTTGTTTCTTTTGCCGGATTGGTCGGTTTCGAACTCATGAGGAAATCTGTGGCTTCAAAGAATTTAGTTTCCTAAGTAAGTTTATTTTTCTGGATTAACTTTTCAGATTGTGATTCGATAATATTGATTATTGATCGCCACTAATGCCGACTTGTGGCTTCTGGAGTGGCTTCTGTTTACAAAACTCGTATTAAACCGAGAGCTTCATCACGGTGAGGTTTTGTTTAACGAAAACCGATTGGAATCAGAACTTGATTTACGATGCCTCGACGAGAACCAGAGAATAAAGATTCGTCGGAGGAAACGGAGTTCGAGGTGGAGGAACTGAACGATCAGATCAAGTCTTCAACAGGGAGTCGATTTAGGTTGCTGAGGGACGAACTCGGGCTCGACTTAACTCGGCGAAGGTTCAGCCGAGACAACGTTCTTAATGGCTTCAATTCCTTGAAAGGCTTCGTCATTCATCCTGACAACAGGTACTCTCTGTCTCTCTCTGTCGATTCTATCTCCCGTCGTCAGACTCCATTTCCAAATCTAATCTGAAAATGGCCAAATTGATCAATCTCTGAAATCGGATTAGCTAGTTTCTGTTTTCTCTTCCTTCCCTACCAAAAAAAAAAAAAAACTGAAACGGCTGAAAAGGCAAAATCCACATTTCCAAATCTGGACTTTGACGGGAAACAGCATTCGTGGTGCCCGTGGTCATGCAGCCATTAGATCTACCTGTAATCCTTGACATCCAACGATGCTGATCTGATAGGAACAGGATGTGTAACAATTGCTGATACGCCAACTTAGAATTTAATCAAACACATTAGATTGTTGGGCCTGTTGGCTCTGCCCAGCAACTGACGTGTTTGGTGCATCAACAGTGTTACATATCTTGTTTCCAGCAGGTCCGGAGTCGTCGGTTGGTTCGGTTGTGCATTTGCGCTGCTTTCCGTCCTCCCGTCCAGACGGTAGCTTGACATCTGATTCGAATTTGATCTTGTAATCCGGTCGTTGGATTGCTTACACGTTCAACGTCCGACATGCCTCGTTGCCTTGCATGTGCATGAAAAGTGTAGATGATTCCTAGTTTCCAACACCTACTCACCTGTGCTTAATAGAATCAATAGATAAACATTGACAGCATTTTTTAGGGAATTGATAAACTGAGTTGGGATCTTCTGCATTTTTTTTCACTTCCGTTCGGGCTATGACAGGTGTTTCAGGCAGGGTGTTTTCATACATATGTCAGTGTGACCATTTACTTATTAATAACTGGACACCTGTCACAGGAGGAATGGAATGCAGGTAAAACTGTACAAGTGCAAGTAAAAAGTGCTTGTCCAAGCTGGAGATACCATAGAGTGCCTTCTAGGCTGCGTTTGGGATGGCTTCTAATTAGAAATCGAAAGAACCCAAAAAAGCCATAAATAACGTTTGGTGAAAAAAAAAAGCCCCCAAAACACTTTTTGACCCCAAAAGGCATGTTTAGACTTCTTATGTTTAAAAGAAGCCCCTTTCCCCAGTTCCACCCCTCCCAAACACTACCCTATAAATAGGCTGCCAATGGGTTGTGTTTGGTTCGGTTCAGGACTGGTGGAATCAATGTCAAGAAAAAACTTGGAATGAAAACTAAACCAATTACTAATCGGATAATTTAGTATGACCCAATTATATTTGACATCTAAGACAATTTGAAACTTCAATATTATAATATGACCTTTCTAGTAAATAGCGAACTGTTTATGTATTGTATGACAACAATTACAGGAGCATGAAACGACCTTAATGAGTTTATTTTACAAGGTTTCCTTACCTTTTCCTGCCTTTTCTTTTAAATCAAACATAGTCTAAGAGTTGCAAAAAACAGCTTTAACCCAATTAGTCGGACCCACAACTCAGAATTAGAACCAGTTCGGTTCTATGGAATATATCTGATCTATTGACAGCTCTACTTCTATTTTTTAATCTAATTAAAGATTAAAATATTCCAATCTAATGGCTCTAGTGGTGTCTAGTTCATCAAATCCTAATTGAAACCCACTAAATGGATCTAAAGAGCGCTGGGCCAACGAAGAATTGGTTTGGTTGGTTGGGCCCATCCCCCAGATGTCTTTTCTTTTTTTTTTGTGATAAAATCCCCAAATGTCTTTCAATGACAACTTGTTCCTTCGTGGTTAGGTTACGTCATTAGATCAGGTGTCTATTGCCAGAACCTGGGATTTAGTAATGACCGTCATGTGGGCCTAGAATGAATAATTCATGTAAGATTTGGAGCTTAATTTAAACTTATATTTTAAGCTTTAATTATTATTATGAGCTGTCCCGTTTTAAACTACGTTGATTTTGCTACGATCTCTGGCCACAATAATTCTACACATGTTAATGTTTGACGATGACAAATTAATTTAGTGAAGAGAAAAACGAGTAAGAATTGCATCAAGGTGGTGCCTGGTGTAGTACAGCTTATGTAGTCCTGTCTCGACGATTTTCGGCAGCATTTTGATAAAGCTTGGAATTTGGAAACGTGTCCGACTCTAATAGACAATTGGTTGGACCGTTGGAATGAGGACCATAGAAGTGTTGTGATGGGTGGTCAACATGGTTTAGTTGTTAATTGTTATATGTAGATAGATAGATAGGGTTAGTTATTCTTGAGTGTTAGACATAGACAAGATACGAGAGGGAGGGGAAGGGTTATTGGGTTAATTAGGTCCAAATTGGCACATCCAAGTTTGGAGAGGTGGACTTTCCGCTTTCCCTCTCCTTTTAATAAAAGAGGAGGGAATGGTCCTTTTGACCATGGATAACAAGGCCACGCCTCTCTCTCTCACTCTCTCTCTCTCTATATATATCTTGGTTGAGAGGGATGAATTATATAGATTAAAAAAAAAAAACTTGCCTCTAATATGGATGATTATTCAAGCCCAGGGAGCCTATTTTCACTCTGGCCTGGACTCACATTAAGTTCATACATAATGTACGCCGGGCTCAGGCCAAGAAAGCACTAGGCCTGGCCACTCAGGCCCAACGACCCAGAAATTGAATATATTTATATAATATATAGTATTTTATATTTAATATAATATCTTGCATATTTGTATGGTATCTTATACATTTATTATAGTATTTTATTAGATATACATCTATATAAATATAATATGTATGGCATGTATATATGACATATATTGACGCATCGTGGAAGTAATGAAAACCGGAATTGGCTATGCAAGCACCGGGCGAATACTAGCTTCTAGCGAAGCTAACACAAATTCTCTATAGGAGAGAGAAAAGGTGGCAAAAATTGATGAGTTGGATTCTTGAATTCTTGGATTATCTTGGATTCTTGAATTTTTGATTTATCCTGAATTCTTGAATTATCTTAGACTCTTGTCTTATCTTGAAGGTGCTTCTTATGAGCTGGCGCCCACATGGTGAGATGGGCCTCCATCATATATGTATATATGATATATATTTTCTGTTATATATAGATAGATAGATAGGGTTAGTTATTCTTGAGTGTTATCCATAGATAGAATTGAACTTAAAACTTATTATTATATGGAGCTACACAATCCAGGGGTAGAAATAGCAATTTTCTTCATCCCCACGAAGTAGCTGGCCTCCCCGATTAGGTGGGGATAGGGTGTGGATGGGATTAATCAGAATACCTCATTGGTGACAGGGAATGAGGTCCACACCTCACCCCAACCTCAATTATATATATTAAATATATGTATATATATATTATATTAAATATATAATATTATTTATATTATATTATGCTATATATATACATATCAAAATATATTTAAATATTATTTGAATTTTGTTTTTTCCTTTATTTTAAATAAATACCTTTCTAAAAACAAACTTTTAATTAAAAATTCAGAGATTTAGGTCCCCGATGGGGAAGTCCTCTTTATCGAGGACCGGGGATGCTGGCTAAAATTTTTTACAAGGATTATTTTGAAACTTGAGGTCAGGATGGGGAGTATGATCATTGCCCCCAATCCCGCCCATTGCCATTCCTACCCTAGGATTATCCCCTAAACCCATAACACCCCCAAATCGATAAATATTGTTCCATTAATTATAGTAATTATACATGTAGTATCCAATAATTATGGAAATTATTAAAGTTTCCCATTATTTATTTGAAAAATTGGAAGTTTTATAATTTAATTTTCCACTAAATTAAAAAAATCACTAAATATTGCTAACAAAATTACTAGAAATATAAAAAACAAATTTCTATTTATTAAAATTAATTTTCCACTAAAAAATTACTGAAAATTTTTAAATATTAATTTTATATTTATTAATATTTTAATTTTTTAGTAATTATTGATTTCAATAATTCATTTTCAAAAAATTCTGAAATTAAATTACCAAAATCAGTAATTTTCAACAAGTAATTCTTAGTAATTAAAATTTAAATTTCCCAACATTACGAAATATTATAGTTTAGGTGTTGATATTTACTAAATAATATTCAATTATATCAATAATTATTGAAAACATAAAAAAAATATTTCACAAATTAATTTAACTACCCAAATTAATTTACTAAATAATATTCAATTAATTTAACTACCCAAATTAAGAGGTGTTTTAAGAGAAATTTTAGATGGGAGAGATTGTTTTGGAGAAATTTTAGGAGGGGGTTGAGCCGATTGGTAACATGAGAGAGAGAAAGAGAGAGGACTTCGAATCTCCTACCCATGAGAACTCTACCCATGTCTACCTACAACACACTACCTTCATGAATTGGGAACATCTTCTCGAGCATAATACTATAAATAGTTTAGAAGAAATTTTAGGAGGGAATTTGGCTAAGTGATTGAAAACATGAGAGAGAGATTTGGAATGGGACTCTAGTGTAGAAGATAGGGCTGCCACATGGCTATATAGAAGGGGTAAGGAAGAAAGGAGAGAGGTTTAAGGAGAGGAGAGAAGGGGAAATGGGAGAAGGAGAGGGCTTCTGACATAGGACCTATTTATGTATAAATCATACGGGCCAGCCCAGATGTACGGCCTGTCCCTGAGACTGGGCTCAAACATGTGTTATCAAGCCTGGGTGAGGTTGGGCTGGTCCCAGGCAAGCCTTAAAGTTGTTAATACTATGTAAAAAGCCAGGCCCGGCCCATCTCCATCTCTAATTTCTACACAATCAATATTATACAAATGACAAGGAACATGAGAATTCAGTCTAAGCCTTCTCTCCTATGAATAGCTCATTTGCTAATCAATACTCTCCTATGTCATAAAGTCTTGGTGGTACAAAAGCTCTTGCTGATGCTTCAAATATAGGTTCAAAAGTCTCTGGCCATAAGAACACTTTGATCTTAGCTGCTATCTTCCTCAGCTGCAAGAACGAGAATTTACCTTTTATCTAGCATGTTTTTGCCATAGTCGAGAGTTGATTGTCCATAACAGTTTATTGCTATGCGTCCGCTAGCTGCTTCTCTTGCTTGTTTTACTCTATCAAAGTTTATCGTTATTGCTTCCTGTTAAATAATGGTTAATGGGTCCGATTTCTGTATCTTATTCCCTTTCCAGTTTCCACCAATCAGAACCAATCAATACTCTCGTAGTTGGATTAACATTGTTTATGACTTGGTAAGTGTTTGGCATCAATGCCTTTTCTCAGAAAACGGTTTTACATTATCACCATATCAAAAATTCATTTTCATGTCTGTTGTTTGATTAGCGGTTCTTTTGAAGAGTGTTTTTTCAGATCACACTTTGGAAATTGGGAAATATATGTTTGAGAAAATATTTTTCTTGATTGCTTTCCCGTTTTTTCTACTGTTGCTACTGTTGCTAGCAATAGTAAACAAACATTACATTAAAAACCACTTACATCGCAGCAACAACAATGATATCAAATGAAAAACCTGAGCATGCATATGCAGCACTATTTTCTGAGAAAAAACTTACATTGGTTCCAAAGACCACTTTAATTTCTTCAATTTTATTGATTGCCTCCAAGGGTACAAATCGGGCCATTTTTGCTCGGATATCAACCCTAATCCAACCCGAATTCAAATTGTCTATACTGTCTACTCTCAAATCCCAATACCAGGTCAATTACGATAATGAACGATAACTCCGTGCACATGGGCCCCACTTAATAGAATGACGTGGCATATCGCGATTCGACCTTTATCATCTGATTACTAGGTTAGATTCAGAGTAAATCGTCAACAAGTTCGGATTCAGTGCGTTTGGAATGGAAGGGATTTTTTCTTCGAGTCCATCAATATTTTAATACGTCATTTAGTGTTTAATTGGCCATCCCTTACAATCGATTGAAAATTTATTATTAATAAAAATATTTTTAAATAAAAAGTGATAAATTAAGCTAATGCCGAGAGAAAATTCCAATGCCCTCGTTTTCAGACGGAAACAGATGTTAAGATGCCTATCATGGCGGAAAATAGAGTGACCGATGTAGGCAAAGTAATCAGGATTAACACTGCCGGCACATACGATGTCATAGAGGATGATGGTGCTGAGAAAAATAGGGTAGTATGCACTGCCAAGCTGATTGATCGATGCCAAAGCCGTAGGCGAGGACGAAGATCTTGTCGCCGGTACCGGCGACCCTGACATCGAAGGCTTCTAAGAGAGTGTTTTTGTTGAACGGGACCCTCTATGACTACGATTCTACGAGAAGCACTCCAGAGTTAGCCCCTTCTTCTTCTTCCCCATCTCCCTCTCTACGGCGCTCCACCTCTTCCGAGTTAGGCTTCTTCCCCTCTTCTCTTCCTTCCCCTGCGGCAGAAGAAACAATTAGGGTTTAATCCCCTTCCGTCACGACCAGTTACAGTTAGGGAGCCTAGGTACAGGGTTTATGCCTCTCTCTCTCCCTCCCAAAGAAGACAACGAAGAGAAGTCTCTCTCTGGTGAATGATTTCTTCAGTTTATTGAATGGAAGAATATTAATTAATCGAGGGAGGGTTTCGCACGATCTTCCGATTCTGCTTATCAAAAAGGAGAGAAACCTTTCTCCTTTCAACAAAGATTGCCCGCCGGAGTGAAAGAAGAAGAATTCTCGCTTCTTTCTTATTTAATCCCTCTTCGATTATTTTTTTTTTTTGTTTAATGGTATAGAGTTATGGAAGAGGGAATTCACCGTGCCAACCGGTTCCCCTTCTCTTACTTTTGATGTGTCATGAAATGGTTGGAATCGAAGGGAAAATGCCTTCGAGTCCAAACGCACCGAATCCGATCTAACGTACAGACGTACTTTTATTATTCTACGCCGGTTTTCACTCCAATAGCTCTCTAACGTACAGAGTTATTGGAGTTAATACAGAGTTGGTTAATACAGTTGGCTTTTGAATGGATAACTGATGATAGAAGAAATGCAGGTGGTATCAGCTATGGACCCAGTTCATATTGATATGGGCCATCTACTCGTCATTCTTCACCCCCTTCGAGTTCGGATTCTTCCGGGGATTGCCCAAGAAACTTTTCTTACTCGACATTGCTGGACAGGTGGCTTTCCTGGTCGACATTGCTCTCCAGTTCTTCGTTGCTTACAGAGATGATCAGACCTATCGTATGGTCTACAAGCGCACAACCATCGCTCTCCGGTAAGTTTCCTGTTTTGTCCCATTGAGAAAATAACAATGACAAACCTAATTTCATTCTTTCTTCGTTTATTGATATCATTTCCTTTTTGCAGGTATCTTAAATCAAATTTCGTGGTTGATTTTCTTGGTTGTATGCCTTGGGATGCTATCTACCATGTAATGCTCTTTTTCTCGTGCATTTCTTTTCTGAGTTTTGAGGTTTGATATTATCTATATTTCTCTATTGTGTTAATTAATTGTTCTGCAATCAATAGATATTGTTACACGTCTGTATATATTGAATCCCCCTTTAATGAATTATGCCTTCTCTATCTTTATTTGATGCATAAGCTACCAGGCTAGGGGGATGTAACCAGACCCTTGACCAAAAACAGAGACATGTAGAACCGCTACAATTTCTGTTAGTCACTCTAGTGAGTATATATGAGGAGTTTTGATGATACAACATGTAGGCATCATTTATAAGGTTACAGAAAGAAGCCATGTGATTCACAATAACTGGTGTTCTGTCTATGCATCTTCCTATGTATATGTTTCTCTGCATTCCAGTAGAGAAATCATTGTATATTTTAATTGAAGCACATGCATTTCATTAACTTTCCTTGTGTTATTTTTAGGTTTCTTTTAAATATTTGAAAGCATAAACCCATCACCTAAAATGGATTGATTATAGGGGTAGAGTAAAGGAACCAAGATTCAACTAAATTATCTCACTTCTATTTTTTTTTTGTTGAGCTCCATTAAAGGATTCATTTTAGATGGTGAGCTGACACATTTAAATGCTGGTTAAGCTAAAATGAAATGATTATCTTATGTGGCTTCCAAACGGCCACTTTACACACAATTTTAACTTATATAGTATCTCTTTTTAGTTTTCCATCAATTCTTAAAGTACATTGATTCCTCTATAGTATATTATTTAGCAAGATATATGTTTTCTTTTTTCTGAGACAATATGCTGAATCAGGCCACTGGGAGGAAAGAAGAAGTTAGGTATCTTTTGTGGATTAGATTGAGTCGGGCACGCAAAGTTACAGATTTCTTCCACAAGATGGAAAAGGACATCCGGATCAATTACCTGTTTACTCGAATCGTGAAACTTATCATTGTTGAACTCTACTGTACCCATACTGCTGCCTGTATCTTTTACTATCTCGCTACCACTCTGCCTGCTTCTCATGAGGGACATACTTGGATAGGAAGTTTAAAGATGGGTGACTATAGTTACACAAATTTCAGAGAAATTGATCTTTCAAAGCGGTACTGGATATCACTATACTTTGCCATAGTAACCATGGCAACTGTTGGTAATTTCCTATTTCTACTCATTTTACAAAATTCGCCATGACTTTTTGTTGGTAATGTTTGTTGTTTCTTCTGAGTCCCTGGAACAAAAAAAATACCAATATAAAATTTCTTTAGACAGGGACAACTCTACACCTCTATCTGTAGCCACATGTTCATTTCAGGAAAATTCCTTTTATCTTTTTGATACAACCTGTCCTTTTCAGTGGTATGCATTTTTCTCTCCATAAGGAAATGGATATGATGATCTGTAACTCATTTATCATGTTTCAATGTTTATTTCTTTATCATTCATAAAGAAAATGTTTATTTCTTTATCTCCCAACTATTCAAGTATGAAAAGCATAAAGAAATTGACTAATGCTAGTCTTTATAAATACTTTAAATGTGCACGAGATCAATATGTTATGTTGAGTAGAAATTTGTTTTCATCATTGAATTAAATTTCACAATTTGGCAATGATTACTTATGTGAATGATTGTGCTCTTTATGCTACAGGTTATGGAGATATACATGCAGTCAATATCAGAGAAATGATATTCATTATGATCTTTGTGTCATTCGACATGATTCTTGGTGCGTATCTGATTGGTAACATGACAGCATTGATTGTAAAAGGATCAAAGACAGAAAGATTTAGGGACAAAATGACAGATCTGATCAAATATATGAATAGAAACAGACTTGGAAAAGATATCCGGAATCAAATTAAAGGCCACTTGAGGTTACAGTATGAAAGCAGCTACACTGAGGCTGCTGTTCTTCAAGATATTCCTGTGTCAATACGTGCCAAGGTGAACATTGAAAACCTGTTGACTCATTTTCAGATGGTTTAATAAACACCTCTGCTAACTTGATGCTTTGGCATTAGTCTCCATATTTTCATTAATTGCTTTTCATTCTTATTCATCTGGCAGTTGACATTTTCAGCTAATATGTTGCCAGCAAATGGATTTTCTGCAATTTCACAAAATGAGCATGTCATCTTAATGGACATATTCCACTTATTTTAGGATGAGAATAATTATTGTAACTGAACAGTATCAGACCATGGAAATTGGACACAAAAATTTTCTCTAGTTTTGGAAAAAGAGGAGACCTCTAAGAACTAAAATGACTTCTACTGATACATCAATCTAAAGATATCAAACTATTGAATACATGACTCAATACATAATATAACCTTTGCAGTGTTCCTCCCTAGATTGACTGGTATGTAGTTCTATATAAGTTAACATGTGCAAAGCTGAATAATAATATAAAATGGACAAACATCATATATAAAGCCAATGTATTGACTTGACTAACTAGTAATCCAGGAGCCATCCAGCTCAAGAAGACTAAACAAAATTAGAAGCTGGTATTTGCATACATTATAGTGTTTTCATCTAGTGAAAATAAACAGAAATGTAGTACCTACAGAAATCTTCATTAGCTAATGTGAATATCCTTGGCCCATTTTTCAGCTCATGTGTAATCTATTTGAACTGGATATATGACCAAAATCTGATGCTGTAGGTATATAACCAATATCTATATTGTTTTTATTATCTTCTGTTGGTGTTTTGACTTGGAGAATGTTCTATCTTTTAGGTATCCACTTCATTATGGAGTATATTATTTCATGTATGAATCCTACATGAGATTATGTTGCATCTTAATATTCTTAAGAGACCCATATCCTCTCATTATTTCACTTACCACATACATTTTACAGATAAAAGCATTGCTGCCTTAGCTGATTCTTCTAATTTTAATATCCCTGCTAGAATCTTTTCCTTTCCTTCTTCTTGTTTTAATTATTTTTCTTATGCTTATTGTTTCTTAATTTTACCCTAACCGATGGTTCCTTCTTTGCAGATTTCGCAAAAAATATATAAAACATTGATTGAAAATGTTTCTCTATTTAAAGGATGCTCTTCAGAATTCATCAATCAGATCGTAAGTCATTTGTTCTAGACTTGCATAACTAGACAATAAAATGTAAAGACTAGAGGTGAAAAAACAATTGTTGCATCTACATTTCTCTATGGGGAAAGATAATTTGTGGACTTAATAAAGTTTTTAAATGTTGAGTAGTAATGCATGGAAAATAGAAGTACTTGGTGTCATTTTATATTTATTTTCTTTTTCTTTACCTCAAGATAACTCTCCCTTCTCTATCCATTTCCAACAAGACCTTGGGACCACCAAGTTTCCATTTGCTGTTTCTTTTGGGAACGGCATCTTCTTTCACTCACAACTTCCATGGAAGAATTGAATTCCTAATTTTGAGTTCCTTGCATTGATATCTGAAGTCTTGAAGTTTCAGAACCGAGTTCTTCATAATATTTCACTTTCTTGTTTCTAGAATGGAATATTTTCAAGTTTTGTATTTTATTCTAAACAGAATTTGTCACCTAAAAAAGATGATATGCTTAAGTTATAGTACACAAATTGTCCATGATAGCTTTTATAGATAATCTAGAAAATATAGGATGCCCCACCACATTCATTAGTAGATATGTTCTATGCATTTGTGGTGAACATTTGAATCATGACATACATACCCAGGGACGAACTATACTTATTAAGTTACCTACCAAGTTCATTATTAAAGTGTACTTTTGTTCCCAACTTGATCATTTATTTTTTAAGTTTGAGAACAATCTTGCTTTTGCTTATAATTGTAATGAGATTTAGGATTGAGATACCTCAAATGTAGAAAAACAACTACAAAACTTAAACAGAGACATTTGGGATGGCTGAAATTAAAAGGAAGTAAATGGGTCAACATAGCATTACCATAAACAAAAGATTCCAGAATATGGAAGGACCTGATAGTTGTGACTTACAAGGTCCATATTACCTAGTCAAGGACACTATGTCATGAAATTTATATTGGACTAGCATTCATCAAGAAAAGGAAAAATATTACATAAATGGATGGCAATTGGTAGTTTCTTTAGGAATCCAGTGCAAACTAACTTGTTCATGTAAAGAATAGATTGACTCCCCAACATTTTATCACTCTTGTCTTTATTTTGGCTTCATTATTCTTTGGTTTACCCTAAAACTGAAAGATTGAGCTTAACCCTGGCCCTTGTCTTCTTTGTCCTGTGAATGATTTCTGTGTTGTTGTCCACTCCCTGCATTGGTCATCTCCTACAACCTAAACTGATCCTAACCCAATTAGGATCATATAACCCACCATGATAGAGGTGAAAGGGAGAGTGCCTCTGCTTTAGTCATGTCAATTAAAAAGGCCATTATCCAGTGTTGGTCCCAACTATTTGGGGCGTTGGGAGGGTTGGACTGGATATGGACCTAACTTTTGGCATTTTTTTCAACAGAATGTGGCCACTCTCAGATCTTTATACCAAGCAATGATCCCTCCAATTAATCCTGTCAATTGCCATCCCTAAATACAGATCTCCCCACAGGCTTCTACATGTAGTTAATATCTTGGTATGCTCTTCTAAGTTACATTGTTCTGCTTATTGATGTTGTCTACCAATGTTTACATGATAAATAGACAGACAGTCAAACATTTTCCTCTAAAATTTGATCTCTGCTTTGTCCTGTAAATATTGAACTAAGGCATTTTCTGTAGATAGAAATTTGGAGAAATGATGATAAATGGTGGAATGGAAATGTTCAAATTTCCAACTCTTTCTTTCTTTCCATGATACTGGAGGGTTTTAATCTGCATAACTTGTATCGCATTCCATCTTCAATCAATTCCCACACCTTCTAGTTCTAAGCCTATATTTTACTTTTGTATATACTTTCTACTCATGATGTTCTCATAGATATGGTAGATATAGCGACCTAGCTTCAAGATGGATGGAATTTATCTGACATTTTCCTCTGTGACAGGTAATCAAGCTCCATGAAGAATTTTTTCTTCCAGGAGAAGTGATCATGGAACAGGGAAATGTAGTAGATCAACTTTATTTTGTCTGCCACGGTGTACTGGTAAAAGTCACTAGCCTATCATAACCACTATATCTGTCATATTCTGATACAGACATACTTAAAATTATTCTATGTAAACTCTATTTTGATTACATGACATATTCTGTGTCATGACTATTTGTCTTCAATACTTGGAATGGCAATGCTTTACCCAAGATCATGATCATTTACACAATTTTTCCTATGATATGCCCATGAAAAAAAAATAATGGGTTTATTGATCAAATGGATGCTGATATCTGAAGACATTCTATCAATGATACGCAATTCCACAATCCAACATTTTCATACTGATGCAAGATGGTTTCATGTACAGGAGGAGGTAGGCATAGGGGAGGATGGGTCAGAAGAAACTATTTCAACTCTAAAACCTAATAGCTCATTTGGTGAAGTTTCAATTCTTTGCAACGTTCCTCAGCCTTATACAGTTAGGGTCTGTGAACTGTGTAGGCTCCTACGGCTTGATAAAGAATCTTTCACAAATATCCTACAGATATACTTCTTTGATGGGCGAACAATCTTGAACAACCTTCTAGAGGTATTTTAGTCATGGTGATTGTAGTTAATCTCAGTTCCCTTTGGTAGATTTTAGCACTTGACGTGAAGTTTCTAGAAATGCATAAGATGTACTCAACAAAAAAATATACTTAATTCACTCTCCAGGGATTTATTTTAACTATTTATTTATGGAATTCCCAGACAACTCTTTATTTCTTCAAACAAAAACAAATTTGTTTTTATGATTTTCATTCAAAATTTCATACTGTTTACTATTTTTTCCAAATGCATGTAAACTGACAGGGAAAAGAATCCAATCTTCGGATCAAGCAAAATGAATCTGACATTACATTTCACATTGGAAAGCAAGAAGCTGAACTTGCATTGAGGGTAAATAATGCTGCTTATCATGGAGACTTGTACCAGCTAAAGGGTTTGATCAATGCGGGAGCAGATCCAAATAAGACAGACTATGATGGAAGGTCACCTTTGGTATGAAATAACTTTCAGTTAGTTTCTTTTTATATTTTGTTCATCCGGAAACTGAAAAAAAAATATTCTTTTGCTTGAATGGAGTATCAGTTCTAATATACGAATACAAATATATATACATCTACATATTGGTTTCACTTTTTGAAATCATTTCTTGTTGGATAGTTGGTAGAAAATGATATATTTACAATGGACCTTAATTGTAATATGATAAACTAACAAAAAGTTCTATTATCCATGTTTTAGCATGTATCCGCACTGGTGTCTAGGTGACAAGAATCAAGTAACTTTAGGATGCAAATGTAGTTCCTGACTAGACAATACACATCGATCAATTATTACTTGAAAGAACTAGTTTCATAGAGTCCTAGGGTTACCATTTATCTGTGTCCATATGGTCCAGCCTTAGAGTGAACTACATTTCATGCTAATCACCCAAATTTGAGCACAAGTAGGTGAAATTGATTGGCTATCTATTCTACTTACTCTATTCTTACTTTTCTTGATGGGAAACCATGAGCTCTTGAATCTGATTCCAGTTTGAAGAAAGCAAAAAATTATAAAAACTTATCTATGGAAAGTGGTAATAATTTATCTCTGTAAATGTAGTCTTTATTCTTGAAGCTAGAAATTGTAAACTATGACTTTATGTGCATCATATGTTAGAAGTTCTACATGTAGGTATGTTAGCTGTAATATTCTTTACCTGTAATTAAAGAAATATTAATTTGCCTGATTGAAAAGAACTTTCTTTAACAGCATCTTGCAGCATCAAAAGGTTATGAAGATATTGCATTTTTCCTTATTCAAAAGGGTGTAGATGTCAATGCTTCAGGTATTTTATTATTCTTTATGACTTTACATTGGTTCGCTCTCTTGGCTTTTCAGTTTTCTCTTTCCAATGGTTGTCTGTAATGAATTTAATGAAAAATCATTGTCAATTAGATAAATTTGGAAATATGCCCTTACTAGAAGCCATCAAGAATGGACATGATAGAGTGGCTTCTTTGCTTGCCAAACAAGGGGCATCACTAAATATTGAAGATGCTGGAAGCCATCTCTGTCGGGCAGTCATAAAGGGAAACTCAGAATTCCTGAAAAGGGTTTTATCCTTTGGCATCGATCCAAATTCCAAGGATTACAATCACCGGACTCCACTTCATGTAGCTGCAGCAGAGGGGTTATATTTGACAGCAAAAATGTTGATAGAGGCTGGGGCAAGTGTTCTCTCAAAGGACAGGTATAACTTGGATGTTTTGCAATGAGATAAGGAATTTATATCTGTGTGCACTTATGTGAACATGCCAATTAAAATCCAAATAAGGGATACTGCTTTCAAATGATTAGGTGCCTGAGATCAAAACAACCTCTAATTTTTTTTTTTTCATTTTTTGGATATTTATGAGGATGGATCTCAGGGATCAAAATATTAATACGCCAGATACCCAAAGTTGTGTATTGGTGCACATCGATATAACTAATGCACTACATCAAGGTTTAAAACTGGCCAAACAGTTGGGGCTACAGCAGATTAAGATAGAGGGAGACTCCAAGTTGGTAATTGGGTGGATGCAATCAGGGCAGCTGGGAATTTGGCAATATAGACAGCTGATAAGGGAAATTCTTAGCATAACAAGGGAGGTGGGTGTTTGGTTCAACTGGGTAAGGAGATCAGCAAATGGTTTTGCTGACGCCCTAGCAAAACAAGGGACTGTAAGGGAGAGTCTTTTTTGGGCAGTGCTGTAATGTTTGATGTTTATTGGATCAACCTTTTCTAATAAGGGTTGAATTCTGTATTTCAGGTTAATTTATCTCTAATGAAAGTTATCGTTTCTGATAAAAAAAAATTAAAGGGATTCCAAGGATCACCCCGAAGTTTTAAAACTTATTTGTATCAGTATATCTATGCGTAGCTGGGTGCATCAATACAGATACGATATGCCCAATATGGGGTGTATCATATCGATATTTGATCCTTGATTTGACTACAGTCTAGGTGCCTCTTGTTAAATCTAATTCTTGATATTTCTCATTGATCCCTCATAGAGAGCTAGTATTGGGTTCTCTGTATTGAGTTTTATTTAAATCTGCAACTATCACTACCTTAGTGGGTGAAGTACCTGTGTCAAAATGTGTTGCACCATGTCAAATGGATTTGTGTTATATAGAACTAGATACATGTGATCTGCATATTCAGTGTGGCCTCTCTAGGTTCCCTTATTCTATTTTTCTTTGTATGACATAAACTTAACTTACTGCATAGACAGATACTTCTACAGTGACTAGTTATAAATATGAGAAGAAAGGCAAGGATGGAGAGAAGGTTAGAGACTAGGCCCGCATCATCATCATCCAAGCCTTACCCCAACTAGGGGTTGGCCACATAAAATCCCGTTTTTCCACTCCATTCTGTTTAACACCATATCCAAGATTAAGCCCACATGGTGTGTTGTAATTGATGACATCCACTCTTCTACTGAATTAGTGAAACAGTTGCATAAAATAAATATGGTCACTACCATTACCACCATCCGAAAGGGAAAAGCCCCTATTGGAGCCTAGTCTATCAATTGACACAGCACTATTACATTCTACTCCCATCCTTTCCTAGCCTTGCTTTCTCATGTGCCAAATGGTGGGAAGGAAGAAGACTTTGAAGGTTTCATTATTTTTCCACTTCTGCAGTCACATTTTTGCATTAAAAGTTGTCCAGAAGAGTATTATGGTCCTAAATTTTTTTTCATGCTCTTGAGAATCTTTGGTTATATATATATATATATATATCTGATGTGGTGTTTGATTTAAAACATTGGTAAAATTTCTCACTAAATATTTTTTTGAGCACAAAAAGGTAAACATCAATTCCATTAATAAAAAATCATGTACAGCAACATGTACTGTGAGATGCTATACAAAATGTGACCTGCATAGCCTTACCAGCCTACCCTATTCAAGAAAATAATCAAAAGAAAACATTTTCTGTGAGGTATTTCTTTGAAGTCCTCTAGAATTGAAACCCACGAGTAAACTGCCCATAATGCCCTCCTAGTCAACTCCTCCACTGTACATTGTTTCCCTTCAAATGTTCTTGCATTTTTTCTTTCCATATGCATCAAGACACTGCTGCAGGGATAGTCTTCCATAACTTCCTGCCTTTTTCAACTTCCCCACCCTTCACCCTTTGAAATGCTCTATAAATGTCTTTGACATACACCACCCACTATTTAATAGTCTGCGGAAATTTCTTACTAAATATGGCTAATCATGAATGCTTTTACTTTATGCAGATTATGTATGTACTTATGCATGTATCTACATACTCACATGATATGCATTCATCTCTGTGTAGGTAGACAATTTTTTTCCTTACCACACCCTCTTTTACCTGAATCATATGGAACTTAACTAACCACTTGGTATTTATGGTGTTTGTGTTTTCTCTTTTCTTTCTTTTGACAATTATCATTCTTCTGTTTTATTTGTTTTTTACATTTTTAAAAGAAATATCATTCATTCGTATAGGACAATACAAATACAGTTATCCATTAAATATATACTTTCTTTCCTTCTGATTTAATGTGCATTCTACGCGAGTTAGTGAGCCCATTGATTAAACCATCTATTTATAAACTTTAATTCCATCCTACTAGGCTTTCTATTAGACAAAAAGTGAATCTAATGAGAACTGTTCATTCCATGGTCCAAAACTGTCTCTGGAGTTCACTTGATCTACTACCAGTTCTGCATTTGAGGAGAGTGTGACCCTCATTAATCCTTTAGATCTGGTTTCTTGAAGACCTCTGGTCAATGCCCATATCCTACATAAGCATTTCCAGTTGCATTGCACTTTGCCCTGCCACTGCCAATGAACAATTGCAGTTAATCAGGATGACATCCAGTTCCTGCTTTACTCAAACATGGCTCATATGAGTCATCCATTAATATTATTATTGTTGATGACATGGAAACCATATGCAAATATGAGTTAGAATTTGAGTCACTATTTTGTGGTAAAAAAATTGTGCATTTGCTCTACCATATGACCTAGATCAGTGTTTTTACCCTTATGCAATTACCTGTTCCATTGTGTCCCAAATCAAGCTAACAAATACCATTAATAAATCAAATAGTTCTACCTGTCTCTCTTTATTGATTTCTTTAAGCAATTATCATTCAGTATTCTTGGTGTCTGTTTCTGACCATTATATTTCTTGCGAGCACAAGCAAAAGTGCAAAACAAGTCTTTGTTAAATGATTATGTTAACAAGACCAACCATTGCTTGGTATATGAACTTCGCAGATGGGGAAACTCTGCACTAGATGAGGCCCATACATGTGGAAACAAGCATTTAATCAAGCTATTGGAAGACGCAAAGTCTACTCAGTTGTCTAAGTCCCATAACTACTCCCAAGAAATCCGAGGTATTAACAATGCTGTAACATTTCTAGATTACTTTTGGTTAGCGGTTATTTGTATCATTGTTAAATGTGGCACATAAGTGGGAAAAATAAAGAATAAGTTGGGCTACAGTAAAGATTTCATTATCATCATCATCAATTTGTACCTTCAATTCTAACAAAGATGGTCTATTAGAATTTCTCCTTGTAAGAAGAGGTTAATGGGGTCTTCTGTTGGAGATTTTCTTATTTCAATCATTTTTTTTTAGAGTTTTACTAAGATACATTTCTGTGCCGAAAATAAACAGATAAAATGCACCAAAGAAGATGCACAGTATTTCCTTTTCACCCATGGGATCCTAAGGAGAACAGAAGGGTGGGAGTGGTCTTGTGGGTTCCCCACACCTTGGAAGAGCTCATCAATATGGCTGCAGAGCATCTCAAATGCTTTGATCGTTCTTGCATTTTATCTGAAGATGCAGGTAAAATTCATGATGTAAACATGATATATGATGGTCAGAAGCTGTATTTTGTAAGTGGAACACAATCGACATAAATAATAATAGGCCTGCTGTGATTTATATTTTGGCAGCTTTGCCCCTGTCGTATCATATCTTTCCGATATCATAGTCGAACCCCATAAAGTACTGCTTTTTTGCATTTAATGTCCTACTAAAACTAGTATGTACAGATACACAGTTGTAGAAAGGAATCTGTATATCTGAAGTAACCCTGGAAATGTAATTATAAAAAGGGTTATTATGTGAAACGCCCCTTCACTTATGTGTCTTTCTCTTAAACTTACTCCGACTTTTTGATACCTCCAAAGACCCCTGTCAGACTTTTGCCAGTAGAAAAACTAACGGAGTTTACAAGTTTACAATGACGCCCTTCTATTCAACTTCATCCTTTAAACTGAAATTCCAAAAATAGGCCCATCCATTTCACTCAAATTGAACCATTGGTGGAAGAATCGAATTATTGGTGGATTGTGAGGTGAGTGAAAATGATTTTTTTTTTATGACAAAATACCTTGATTTATTTTTCTCCCCTGCTTCATTGCCCACAGGCATAAGGTAGACTGGTTGGTCAAGGTTAATTTTGTCATTTGGTAAAATAATAGGGTAAACTACATCAACCTGGATCTCTTACCCACAAGACACTACTGTAGATCAGGAACAAGTCCCATGAATGGTAACATACAAAAAGGGAAGATGTTCTCAATGTGCGGCTGTAGTGATATGTGGGTAGGAGATCCAAACTAATATTACATATTACCACCTTATACTTTGGGGGTAGTGACACTCAGTGCCCTAACTTTCATTTGCAACAAAGATCCCCCTAAACTTTTTAGATTCCAACACTTTGCCTCTCTTTTGTTAATTGGATTGATAAAAAAATTAATTTACTAAAATACCCTTTTTGAGATTTGTTTTGGTGAAAAGACAATATTTGAAAATGACAAAAATGGATAGGGTAAAAATGCTCTCTTTTTGCCTATTTTGGATGAAAAAGAAACATAAATAGAGGGTTTATATAAATATGTAAAATAATTCCATTTCAATAAATTAAGAAAAGGGTAGTGGGGATTTAGAAATGTTAGTCAAATGAGAATATTTTTTGGGGTTAATTAATGGAATACTAATGAAGGGGGCAAAATGTTGGACTCTAAAAGTTTAGGGGGCTAAGTGTCACTACCCCCAAGGTATAAGGTGATAATTTATAATATACCCAAATAAAAATTGCACATGTGGAACACTTCTTTAAGGGTTTGACCAAAGATTAAAATATTGATACGAAACGCCCAATACGAGATGTATCGTATTAGTATCGGTAGGGGAGGATATGAGATATGCCATGACTAGCATTGTATCATACTAGTCGTGCGTGTCAGTCCTATACACCACCATATCGGTGCATATCGCACAGTATCGACCGATACGCATCGATACAGAGGCATATCGAACATGAGTTTAACAGAAAAGTGTTTCACTAGAAAAAAGGGATTTAACATGATTTGATTCCTAAAACTCAAGTCGCCTAATGTTTAGGAGCACAAGGATATTAACCATCAAGCCACCTTTTATTTCATGACAATAAATGAAATAAATTATCTTTTATTACAATTAATTCTTACATTTAATCTAAACAAATGATATATGCAATAACTCTAAGTACAAGTTAAAAAGAATAATATTCAAAATTATTATTTTATAAACCAAAAAAATAAATAATATATTAAATCCACATATATAAATGATTTTTCATTTCAATAAATTTATAAAAATAAAAATATTATTAATAGAATAATCATTTTAATACTTAGAATTATTTATGTAGACTTGATAAATTATAATAATCATTTTATAAATTATTAATTAGTATTTTAATTTGCATTAAATAACAATGTATTTATTATATATGAAGATAAAATATTGTTTACAAAATATTTAAGAATATAATATAAATTGAATCTATCAAATCCGCTAATCTACATTTAAATAAAAATTATTTAAAAAAAACATAAAAATAAAAATATTAATAATGGAATAATTATTTTGTAATTAAAATTTATGAATTTTCATATGATATGAATCTTCAAAATTTTAATAGATTTGATATATTTTAAGTTAAGATTATATATTTTTATAAATTATTAATTGATATTTTTCATTTACATTTTATATAAACATATTTAATTTTTACAAATATTTATTGAACATTTACAAATTAATTTTTAGTTGATTATTTTGTTGATGTTAAAAACTGAAAATAGTAAAATAAAAATAATTGATATAATAATTCAAATATAATGGTTGCATATGTTTTGTGTCTTGGATTTTAATAAAAATAAAAATTTATGCATTATCAATAAAGTTGTATAAAATCTATGCATCCCGTTATATCAGTAGTAATATATTTCTTTAGATATACCATTAAAATATACAATTCCTATGTATTTATACGTTATTTATAGTTATGTTGACAATAAACTTGAAATTATTAATATAATTATTAAATTTGTATGCATTTCCTTAGCGTATCCAAGTGTTTACATATTTCTCATCTATATCTATGTATTTCCCAAGCGTATCTGTATTTGTATTCATATCCATATCCAAATTGTCTGTTACGATACCCAATACCGATACTTTAATCCTTGGATTTGACTATGACACTAGAGAAAACTTGTAACCAATCAATCAATATTATAAAAGTGGTAGCCAATCAGGTGGTATTTATTATAATTCATAAGGGGTTTAGAATAGTCAAAACTCTTCTAGTATCTTTTTGGCAACATAGATTTTTCAATGTTATAAGTGTCATAATACCTTAGTCTCCCATTTTAATCAAGGGTATTTTGTACTGGTATTGAACAATACATGTCTTCAAAATAAGCAATAGATAAAATACTATGAATTAGGGATTATCTAAGTTGGGTACTCAATTTGAAGAATTTACATTGTATTGGGTCCAGGCTTTTGGACTGGGCCCATTGAAATTTTAACAATTCCCTAACCCAAGCCTGCCCAAGTTGCACCCATAAATATCAATTTTTAGAATAGGCAATACATGGAACACTAAGAATAAGGGAGCATTGATTTTCAAAAGAGCATGATACGTGGAAACTATGAATTAGGGATAGGGATGCAAATGTATTGGATTGGATTCGAATCAAGGTATATCTGAATCCGATCTAATATTATAAACCATAGATCCAATATGATTCAAAGATCCATTAGATCTTACGAACAGTGATTCAAATTTGAATTTGTTAAGGATGTCAAATATCCGAATCTGATATGATTTGATTTAATTTTTAAAATTTTAATAAATTGTTAAAAGGAAAATTAAATATAACAATTTATATAAAGAAAAAAATATAGGTCTTTTTTAAACTATTTTTATTATATATACATGTTTTTTATAAAAATAAATAATATAAAAATTTATTAATCGGATCCTATTATCTTATTTGATCTAGTCCAATAATCCAAAAGGGGATATCCGAATCCAATAAAATAGGATTCAATTTTTAGATCAGATTGTATCATGATCTGATCCATTTGCAACCCTAATTAAGGAGTACGATCCTTTGAGCCTTGATAAATATGTGTTATAGTCGAAATCCAAGCAATATATAAAAGATGAGTTTGGGAACTTAACAAGATGAGGTCATATGAACTGAACTATTTCCGAAGGCACCTACAAGAAAGATAGAGTTCTGAGGTGTGTCTTAAGGGGAGAACTCTTCGATGCTTAAGTCAGTAAGTGAGCAAAGAATCATTGGATCAAACAGGAGGCTAGATTAGTGAAGAATGCAAAAGGTTGAGGTAAAGGATGAAAGAGTGCTATAGTGTTCTTACCTTTTGATGGGGTGTCTTACTATTTATAGAAGGGGTGAGTCGTAATCCTATTGGGAGATGAGTAATTTGGCATGAGCTTTTCGGTGATTGTTTTTCGAAGAAAGCAATCCAATTGTTTGTTAGAGTGGGGACTAAGTCTGAGCCATGCTATAGCCTATTCGATGAGGTGCAATGGGCTTTTTGTTCATGGTACATGAGTTGTATGTGTTCTCCAAGGGGCGGGCCATACTACTTTTGCTCGTGTAGCAGGCATAAGTGCTCCACTTAATGCATCGCTTCATATTTTAAGGCGTCTGTTAGAGTGACCCATCAATCGTGGGACACGTGATAGGTGTTAGACCGGGGTGAGATTTGGAGTATTGATGGGAAATCGATCTAAGCTGTTGCTTCTGGAGTTCTTAGGGAGAGTGGAGCTGTCATTCTTGAGTTTGGCTCGGTGTTCGATATCTTCATTGATTCTTTTGAGTAGTTGGTTTAGTATCTTTGCTCTACTTGTTTCATTATGTCTTCTCCGATTCTAGTTCTTTTGGTTCTCAGTTTGAACACTTCAGCTCAACATCGAAGTTGGTAAGTGCCTACTCTAGCTCAACCGATGGGGTTACTAAGGTTGAGGTTAGGGAAGCCGAGGCTTGTAGTCTCCATGCTAGAACAAACTTGGTTTTGAGGCCAAGGTTGAGGAGATTAACGCTCAAAGTCCATTGGTGGTTGAGGTGGAGGACACTGAGGTGAACATTGTTGATATTGACAATAAGGACAAGGGCGCTCTGAGGTTGGGACTTCGGGGGTTAGTGCTCGAGTAGTTACCATTGAGTTAGTAATGAGTTGCCAATCGGGGAACTGCCCAAGGAGGATGCCTGACTCATAAGGATTATAATGAAGTAGGAAAACATGGTAAGGATCTAGCGTTTGTACTAGATCTTTAAGGAATTTGAGATCTGAATGCATACCTAGGAGTGATAGGTTTATCAGATTCCTGATCTCCTACCCACAAGAACTCTGTCCACGTTTATCAACAATAACATGACATGCACATATAAAAAACACCTCATCCTCCTATATAGACCTGGGCAGAGTTTTTATGGGCAGGAGATTCCGAGGCTTCCATGGGTTGGCTATGCATATATGAGGACAACTTGGTGACTAAGCTAGGATTTCTCTTGGATGATCAAGTGGCTCAGATTTTGACACATCATCAGGTAACCGGCTTGCTATTGGTTACGAAATTGGGGAGGTTAGGGATGACA